TTAAAAATGCTACTAGTTTGCTAATTCAAACAACTTTGTATTTTCACTAATAACAAAGTTACTAATGGTGGACACTTAATTTGGATAACCCTGTATACCTTGAATATGAAATCACCAATTTCTAAAGTGGCGGACTGGCAGGCTGTCAAGGTAGAGCTCGTTTGTACATTGAATTGCCTATAACTCAACAACTAATCAGCTAAACGTTATAGTATGCGATATCAATCTTGTTATTTTGGAAGGCTCAATCTGAATGTACAAAAAAATTACAGGTTTTGACGTTTCTAATGAAATGTTCCATATTTGCTATATCGTTTTGATGGTTGGTTGTCGAGTTATGTATACTTTATCTGAAGCCACTTGAAATACCATAAAAACGTTTGGTCGGCGCGTCCTTTGTAATTTCATGACGTATCATAGGCGTGCGGTCATTTATTTAGAACGATAATAATAATGTTTTTATATCACAATAAATGGATTTTACTATCTTCTTATTTTTTTGATTTGGGATAAAAAATACTTATATTGGGAGTTTAATTTATGTTGACTGAAAGTTAAGAAATGGAAAAATTACAGAATTCCAACGTTTGACATAGGCAAATATTTACATAGCAGGTAGGTATATAAAGACTTACATTATAGGTATTTATATATCATCCTCGCATTCGGAGCTGTCGCTTGAGTCATCTTGTAGAGGAATTACAACGGGATTTACAGGACGCAAAACACAATATTCATTTTCTTTTTCAATAATATGCCTAGAACACTGCTTCCATAGGTCTGTGGCAGCAATATGAGATACTGCATCTCTTATTGTGGCCAATAGCGATTCACTTAATTGAGGGGTCTGATTATGTTTTCTTACTTTTTTTTTAAAGCAGCCCAGACCAAATGCAGTAATAGGGAGGTAGACGTAATACTTCATGGCTATTTTGCTGAAGCAGATTGTCAACAACATACTCTTTTTCAAATTTTTGTCTTTTAATAAGATCCAATAATATGGCTTTGGTTGATTTTTGTGGTATTTCCATTCCCTTATCCTTCATAAAATCAATAATGTCTTGTTCTTTTGTGCCTGTATTCGGGATTTTGTTTTTCTGTCGGGAATGGTTTGGCGCATTGTCCATAATAATCACTGAATTTGGGGAAATGTTTGCTATTAACTGCTGCTCTCTATCCACTTTTCAAATAAGTCGGAGGTCATGTCCTCATGATAGCCGGCACATGATTCTTTGATATTTTTGGCAGATAACAGCAAGGCATTAGGTATAAATCCATTTTCACTGCCAGCATTGAGAATAATGATTCGTTTTCCACGGTTGCATGGTGCATTTAAAATGCACTTGTTGCTGTCGTCAACCCAGCCGTACTGCACAACATCATGGGTATCATACCACGTTTCATCCAGGTAAATCAGATTTCTTTTCTGCTCTCTATAGATTTTAACTTTGTGCAAAAATTCTTGGCGCAATTCAACGATTCGAGACGACTCCATAATCACCATTCTTTTATCTAATTTTTTGTATTGAAAACCACACAGTTTTACAATACAGTGCAGTGAGTCTAAGCATTTGTAATTATAAAAATCTTCAGGATAATCTTTTAATTTATCCCGTATCATTTCCAACGTGAGCACCAAATTTTCTTTATAAAATCCGTATATTATACGACGAATATCTTCCTGAAAACCCACGTCTATTCTTTTTAATTTTTGCCCAATGCGCTTTCTGTGGAAGGAATGGTCGACTACATCTCCCCTTTTTATAACCCGATAAATGGTAGACCGACTGATTTTTTACGGATACAAATTCTGTTTAAAATTTGATTTTGCGAGGAATCTGGATTTTCGTTTTTCAGACAATCATACATATTTAGGATTACTCTTTGGGTCTGTTCCTCTAAATCTTTATGAAAGAATTCTGCCTGCACAGGTTCATCAACCATCTCCTCGTGGCTTGGAGCATTTTCCCAAGGTCTCCAAAGAGCCATATTTAGGACACACAAGAACAATCAACACAACAATTAAATCAGCAAGTAAACTGAATATTCAAAAGTCAAAAACACACAAACTAATAAAATCTATGGAAAAACAGGGACAGACTAAAGAAAACACGTTTATTCACCGCTACACGGCACTGGCTAAACTATTTCAATTTTCAGTAGCCACCTGCACTTGTTCGGAGCTCTGAAATACACGCTTTCTCATTGGCTATGTCCACGCATAGGCGTGCTTTACTCCACCTGGACCGGTGAAACTGCCTTTGATCTTATACGGGGGATATTTGCTGCGAAATTTGGCGATTTTTGCAGCAACAGAGCGTGTTAAATATAGATATATAAAACGCACCCGGTATTTCACAATGTTTCAAGTGACTTCAGATAAAGTATACAAGCGACTTAATGTACAAAACGCTCAACTTTGACAGCCTGTCAGTTCACCATTTTGAAAGATAGCCATTATTTAGGGCTATGAAGCGCGCATAAGTAGCTTTAAGATGAGCTATCACATAATGCATCATTCCTTTTGCAAAAAAATTCTAAACTGCCTCTCAGCTACGATCTTAAAGTTTTTAATAGTAACTCTTACTCCGAAATACACTATTCGTGCATTAATTTCGTTATCTTGAATTTCAGCTTTTTAACTTGACCCATTCAAAAAATAAGTAATGTGCTTTTTAAAAAGCACTGTACGTATAGTTTATCTGAAGTCACTTGAAACACTGTGAAATACCGGGTGCGTTTTATATATCTATATTTAACACGCTCTGTTGCTGCAAAAATTGCCAAATTTCGCAGCAAATATATAAGATCAAAGGCAGTTTCACCGGTCCACGTGGAGTAAAGCACGCCTATGCGTGGACATAGCCAATGAGAAAGCGTGTATTTCAGAGCTCGGAACAAGTACAGGTGGCTACTGAAAATTCAAACAGTTTAGCCAGTGCCGTGTAGCGGTGAATAAACGTGTTTTATTTAGTCTGTCCGTGTTTTTTCATAGATTTTATTAGTTTGTGTGTTTTTGACTTTTGAATACTCAGTTTACTTGTTGATTTAATTGTTGTGTTGATTGTTCTTGTGTGTCCTAAATATGGCTCTTTGGAGACCTTGGGAAAATGCTCCAAGCCACGAAGAGATGGTTGATGAACCTGTGCAGGCAGAATTCTTTCATAAAGATTTAGAGGAACAGACCCAAAGAGTAATCCTAAATACGTATGATTGTCTGAAAAACGAAAATCCAGATTCCTCGCAAAATCAAATTTTAAACAGAATTTGTATCCTGACAAAAATCAGTCGGTCTACCATTTATCGGGTTATAAAAAGGGGAGATGTAGTCAACCATTTCTTCCACAGAAAGCGCATAGGGCAAAAATTAAAAAGAATAGACGTGGGTTTTCAGGAAGATATTCGTCGTATAATATACGGATTTTATAAAGAAAATTTGGTGCCCACGATGTAAATGATACGGGGTAAATTAAAAGATTATCCTGAAGATTTTTATAATTACAAATGCTTAGACTCACTGCACTGTATTGTAAAACTGTGTGGTATTCAATACAAAAAATTACATAAAAGAATGGTGATTATGGAGTCGTCTCGCATCGTTGAATTGCGCCAAGAATTTTTGCACAAAGTTAAAATTTATAGAGAGCAGAAACGAAATCTGATTTACCTGGATGAAACGTGGTATGATACCCATGATGTTGTGCAGTACGGCTGGGTTGACGACAGCAACAAGTGCATTTTAAATGCACCATGCAACCGTGGAAAACGAATCATTATTCTCCATGCTGGTAGTGAAAATGGATTTATACCTAATGCCTTGCTGTTATCTGCCAAAAATATCAAAGAATCATGTGCCGACTATCATGAGGACATGACCTCCGACTTATTTGAAAAGTGGATAGAGCAGCAGTTAATACCAAACATTTCCCCAAATTCAGTGATTATTATGGACAATGCGCCATACCATTCCCGACAGAAAAACAAAATTCCGAATACAGGCACAAAAAAACAAGACATTATTGATTTTATGAAGGATAAGGGAATGGAAATACCACAAAAATCAACTAAAGCCATATTATTGGATCTTATTAAAAGACAAAAATTTGAAAAAGAGTATGTTGTTGACAATCTGCTTCAGCAAAATGGCCATGAAGTATTACGTCTACCTCCCTATTACTGCATTTTTAACCCGATTGAGTTGGTCTGGGCTGCTTTAAAAAAAAAATTAAGAAAGCTTAATCAGACCCCTCAATTAAGTGAATCGCTATTGGCCACAAAGAGATGCAGTATCTCATGTTGCTGCCACAGATCTATGGAAGCAGTGTTCTAGGCATATTATTGAAAAAGAAAATGAATATTGTGTTTTGCCTCCTGTAAATCCCGTTGTAATTCCTCTACAAGATGACTCTAGCGGCAGCTCCGAAGGCGAGGATGATATATAAATACCTATAATGTAAGTCTTTATATACCTTTTTATATACCTACCTGCTATGTAAATATTTGCCTATGTCAAACGTTGGAATTCTGTAATTTTTCCATTTCTTAACTTTCAGTCAACATAAATTAAACTCCCAATATAAGTATTTTTTATCCCAAATCAAAAAAATAAGAAGATAGTAAAATCCATTTATTGTGATATAAAAACATTATTATTATCGTTCTAAATAAATCACCGCACGCCTATGATACGTGATGAAATTACAAAGGACGCGCCGACCAAAGGTTTTTATGCTATTTCAAGTGACTTCAGATATACCATACATCAGTTAGTAGGCACCTCCACCAATATTATTAGACAACAATTACCAATGATCAATGCGACTATTGTGCATTGTCTTGATTCCTAGTTATTACACTTACTTTTTCAGAAGTAAGGTCGCATATCTTTTTACATTAGATTTACATAAATATATTGGAGTAGATCTAACACTTCAGTAATTCAGCAAGTTCACAAAATATTCGTGAAGTTAATTTATGGACATTTTTCAATGTGACTCCAGCTGATGGAAGTTTAAGCGCTGCTTCTAGGCACACCAACTTAAGCAATAAGCTAGGTGATAGGTACAACTATACACACTACTTCGAAGATGCCTTCCCTGAATTATTCAACGTATTGCCTGTAAACGTTGTTACAGCTGTTTATTGTGGTGTGAGTATTAACAAATATTTTTTATTTGAAAACGTATAATTTTAACAAAATCGTAATTTAGAATCATGATATCTCGACGTTTGGCATACTCTCTTGGTGTAAGTTGATATGAAAAGACCCCGCACAAAAATTATAGGAAATAAACCAGATCATAATACCCTGCTCTCATGGGACTAAAGCAATCTGGGTGGTTCAGTTTCCAATTTATCGCTGAAGCCTAAATGGTCGTAAGGGGTTAAAATCCCTCCAATTTTTCCAAGAAAATAAGAATTTTTTTGTTTCATTATACAGGGTGTCCGCAAAGTTGGGGTTTTCCTTTTCAGAAACAACTACCCTTGAAATAACAAAGGTAATGTATAGTGAAACGAGGGCGACCAAGTAAAAAAAAAATAAAGGAAAAAGTACTCACTCTCCAGTTGACGAGAAGGGCTAAGTACGTCTCTGCCCGAAATCATACCGCTCCAACAGAAAATGAAATCAGCTGATGCGCTACCGAGCAGACGCAGGCAAACAAGGAAGGCAAAATGTTGCGTAAAAAGTCTAGGCATTGCATCCCGTCCAATCTATTTGGGAGAATAAATGGTCCAATGAGCATACCGTTCACCATGCCAGCCCAAACATTCACCGAAAATGTTTGTTGAAAATATACTCGACGGACGGCGTGCGGATTTTCTACTGACCAAACATGAGTGTTGCGAAAGTTATTCACCCCATTACGCGTTAACGTAGATTCGTCTGTCACCAATATGCACTTCAAAAAGTCCGGATTATTGTCATGTTGATGCAACAACCACTCACAAAACCGCACTCTTGCTGGAAAATCGTCAGGTTGAAGGGCTTGTACACGTTGGACGTGAAACGGATACAGCCCCTCTTCACGCAGCGTTTGCCACACTTTAGTTTTTGATACTAGCACTTCTCTAGCCACGTCTCTAGTGCTTGTTGAGGGATTCTCGTCTACGCGATTACCTCTACACGCGTGACCGTAACCGTCGGTTGAAGGTTGCATAGTGACCTGACACACTGACCCCGACCCAGTTCTGTCGTCGGGTTGAGGTAGTGTCCTAGTACCACTCGGGGATGTCGCGGCTACAGGACCGTATTCAGATATTTTTGATGTTGCAGAGCCCTTTATCTCGGTGTCCTTAAGACATTGGTGTATATGGTACTAAGAAAAATTGCTTATGTTTTCAAGATCTACACGTCGTGTATAGGAAAACCCCAACTTTGCGGACACCCTGTATATTTTAACTTAAATCCTTTGATTAGTTTCTGAGAAATATTGGAACGAATTTGCGAAAATGGTGAGTGTGCGCATAGAATCAATTTTTAAATTCTAAAAAGTTGACCCAAACCGTTCAATATGACGGAAGCAGGACAAAAAAAATAAAACTCAAACCAATTGTCAATTTAAATTACATTACCCTGAAGCTACGTTCGCATAGCTGCGCTTTTTCTATATCCTTTGCCTTCAAAATTTAACATGACCTTGAATTAACCTTGTAAAAGTCATAATAAAAGACAGCTAAACAACCATAACTGTTCCATGGCCTCTGTAAAGTGCAATCTTGAATGATCTTTTTTATTCACGAACTAAAATAAGCTTGCCCTTAAATTGGCCCTGTAAAAACTATGTCTAAGGTCAACAAGACACCTCCCTAAAAGGTGTTTGCATCATCATCATTCTAGCAATTGTCCGAGTATTTAGTCGGAGAACTACACTCGGCACATTCGCCATTTTTAAACGTTCCCCATATTTCTCAAAAACTCACTTTGGTACCAGGAGAGCTTTGATTCAGGAAAGTGAGGAATGTATCATGCTCGATTTTCAGGCAAATCGATCGGAGTCCATTTTCCTTATGGTTTGTGCGGGGTCCTTTACTTTCGCCTTGAGTATATGGATCCGATAGCTATAAGTTTCTGAGCTAGTTCATCAAACACAAATACTGGTATAGGTATTTAAGTACTCCCTAAGGATTTACCTTCGGTCGCCCTTTTCCTAGCATTCATATGGTCTGATTACTTTTTAGGTTCTGATATGGCAAGCTACACTGCTATGGGCGTACAACGACGTGTTTATAATTCTTTTGAGTACGCCTTTGGCACTAAGATTCCGCCAGATTACCAAGCGACTTGAAGATGCTCAGAGAAAGGTAGCCTACCAGGAGTTAATATTGGCCCTAATCTTACACTTTTATCTTTATTTCATATACAAAATACGGTTTCCTCAGTGTCAGTCAAAGCAAAGCGCGTGTATTTACCTCTTTCCTCAAAAAACTGTGGAGATATTTAAGCATGACAAAATGAATCATAAGCCTTCTGACTAAAATTTCTGGTTTTTTATTTTTAGGCAAAACCAGACACGTTTTGGGGCGAGATCAGGGAAGACTATGACAGACTTAGCATAATTTGCAAGCAACTTGACGAGCACATCTCTTACATAATCTTACTTTCGTTCAGTCTCAATATATTTCTGATGTTGGTGCAATTGTATAGATGTTTGCAGTAAGTTGCCATCATTTATCTGATATATCCTTTATAAAAATATGTTTATAGGTCTGTTACAGGAACAATAGACAAAGTTTATTTCGTATATTCGTTTATTTATATAATTCTGAAAGTCGTATCGGTATCCCTTTATGCGGCATGGATCAACGATGAAAGCTTGGAACCGGCTATCGTTCTGAACACTGTGTCTTCTACTCGCTATAACACAGAGGTAAGGCATACAAAGATAGATGTTTCCAAAAAATTCTCGTCTAAAATGTGAGTGAACCCCATCATGTAGGAACCACATATTCTGTCTCACATTTATAGGAACATCTTCTAATAATTGTGGCAGATACCTTTCCAGGAATTACATGGACTATAATTTCAGATACGTCGATTGTTGATTCAAATCAGCTTCAACAACATAGCACTGACTGGTTGCAGGATGTTCAAAATAACAAGAGGCATCGTGTTGAGCGTAAGTATTATAGTATTTACATCCCAAAGATGTAATGCCATTTTTTATATAGTTTTGAACACAACTCCAGCAAAATGGTAGCAATACACTGATGTAGTCTATTTCTGATGTTTTGAGCTACTTTTCCACACATTTCTGTGGGTATCGGGCATGTTTCCTCAACAATTCGCATCTTTAGCTCATCTGAGGCGTGGAGGCGACGTTTAAGAACTTTCTCTTCCAAATAACCCCACGGAAAAAGTCGCACATGCTTAAATCTGGCGAGCGCGCTGGCCATCCCAATTCACCTCTCAAAGACACGAGGTGACCGGGAAACATTTGTCTCAATTTCGCTATAGAAATCCGAGCCGTGTGTGCTGTAGCCCCATCTTGTTGTAACCACAGATCTCCTAATGTCACTTAATCGTTGCAATCGTTGCAGCATTGAAACATAATGATCAGCTGTGACAGTTACTGTTCCACCATTCTCCTCAAAAAAATAGGGTCCAATGACCCCAAATTGTGGCATCGCACATCACACAGTCACTTTATGCGAGTGACGACGTCTCTCATGAAGTTGCCTTGGGTCATTGTCAGCCCAGTACGCAAAAGTCTGCTTATTGACAGCCCCTGAGAGGTGAAAGTGGGCCTCGTCGCTGCTGAAAAAAGTTGGTGTTTCGGGGATTCGGTCTGCATTTCTTGGCAACAATTTACACGGTTGATGTAATCATCAGACATCAATTCTCGAACAGCCATGATTTTATACGGATGGAATGAGAGGTCTTCATGCAGAATTCTCCTTAAAGAGCGAGCTGACATGTCCAAAGCATCGCATGCCTCTGAGCAAAGCGCCTTGGTGACAATTCAACTGCTTTTTTGACAGATCTGGGTCTTCCAGTTGCCTGCCCAGCCAACTTTCGAAAAATTGAGAATCTTACATAGCCTCAAACTTTGCTAAGTAACCTGACTCACCCTATATAAGTGGATAAATAAAAGAAATATACGGGTCGAACCTGTACGTGTTATCACAAATCGTAACAAATCGTAATAAATCGTAATAAACCGTAGTAAATCGTAATAAATCGTAGTAAATCGTAATAAATCGTAATAAATCGTAATAAATCGTAATAAATCGTAATAAATCGTAATAAATCGTAATAAATCGTAATAAATCGTAATAAATCGTAATAAATCGTAATAAATCGTAACAAATCGTAATAAACCGTAAAAAATCGTAATAAATCGTAATAAATCGTAATAAATCGTAATAAATCGTAATAAATCGTAATAAATCGTAATAAATCGTAATAAATCGTAATAAATCGTAATAAATCGTAATAAACCGTAATAAATCGTGACAAACGGTAATAAACCGTAATAAATCGTAATAAATCGTAATAAATCGTAATAAATCATTGTAAATCGTAATAAATCGTAATAAAACTTAATAAATCGTAATATATCTTAATAAATCTTAATAAATCGTAATAAATAGTAATAAATCGTAATAAATCGTAATAAATCGTAATAAATCGTAATAAATCGTAATAAATCGTAATAAATCATAATAAATCGTAATAAATCGTAATAAATCGTAATAAATCGTAATAAATCGTAATAAATCGTAATAAATCGTAATAAATCGTAATAAATCGTAATCAGTCGTAATAAATCATGATAAATCGTGATAAATCGTGATAAATCGTGATAAATCGTAATAAATCGTAATAAATCGTAGTAAATCGTAGTAAATCGTAATAAATCGTAATAAATCATAATAAATCGTAATAAATCGCAATAAATCGTAATAAATCGTAATAAATCCGAATGCCGCTACTCCCCCTTTCTGTTCCAAAAATATCGAGATTTGAATTTGGGTAAAATTTTCCATGTTGAAAGCAACTGTCCACCAGTTAATTTTATGGAATACGATCATTTCATAAAATGGTAAATTTTACGCTAGAACTGATTTATTTGAGTGTGAAAGAACCCCACGGTGGACTTTGCTTCAGATAACATAAACTTCCATCTAAAAATCTTTCCTCAAATTCTGGTTATACAGTAGAGTTTTTTATCCATTTATATATACAGGGTGTAAACGTTATGGTAGCCATTACTTAAATGGGTGATAGAGGGGGTTAAAAGGAGCAAAAAGTTTCTAATAACATTTTTTTGGAGAAAGACGACTTTAAAGTAAAGGCTTTTCTTGGGCCCACGTGTGAGTGGAAATTTAATATCCCGTCTTGTGTAAAAGTAAATTCGTCTGCGAGGATAGTCTTCTGATAAGCCCTCTGTGTACATGGTAGGGATAAAGCAAATTTTCCCGTAGGATTCTATGAACTATTTTAAAACGTTTTAGATTAGATCATAAAAATTAGTAAGATTGTGGTCGATATAAACCACTTAAAGTTGTAAACTATAAAGTCATTTAGACAAAAATCTATTGACTTTTGGACCATGCGTCATATGAACCTTTTGACTTGTTTTGACCCATTCCAGTGACTACCATAACGTTTACACCCTGTATATTCATGATTACTTACATTTTCCAGATTGCTGGTGCAGTGGTTACCTATGAGTTGGTTCTAATACAATTTAATGCTGCTACCAATGTATGAACTAAATAGAATAAACATTTGGTTAAGTGTTGTCGTTTTCATTTTCTCAATTTCATCTTATAAAAACTATATTACCTCACCGATATACTGTTTTTGTTACTATTTCAAATCGCTGTTAATCGTCGTACTAGAAATAAATTATAAGAAGAACATGGACGGTTTGCAAATACAGGATGAACCAAAAGAAAATATGGCAAGGATTTTTAAGGAGAAAGAATCTCAGAAAGTTTCAGTCGAAAAACGATGATTTAAGAGAGAAAATTCATGTAAGATTAAATAGTTTTTCTACAGGGTAGCCCATAAGTCCTTTGAGCTGGAAAAAAAGGAATAAAACCAAATTAGTTACATTATGAAGAATTATTATATTTTGTTATCATCTTTATTGAATGGGAATTATGTTTTAAAAATCACATCGTCTAAATGCAATCCATTACGATCACGGCACTCATATAAACGACGTCTAAAATTGTCGATGACTGCGCGGCAAGTCAACACTGTAATGCTTGCCATTTCTCTTCGGATATTTTCTTTCAGGACATCAACTGATCGCGGAGTGGTGTCGTACACTTTACTCTTGAGGTAGCCCCATAAAAAGAAGTCCATTGGGGTCAAATCTGGACTACGTGGTGGCCAGGAAATGTCTCCTCTTCGAGAAATTACTTTGCTGGGAAAAAGTTGACAGACGACGGGCATAGAAGTGTTGGAGGTGTGGGCAGTTGCTCCGTCCTGTTGAAACCAGGTCTGCGTATTATAGCCTGGAAAATTCCGCAACGCTGGTGTCAAAAACGCTTCTATCATTGCTACATACCGCTCCGAAGTAACAGTTAATGCGCGACCTCTGTCGTCCTCAAAAAAATAAGGGCCTACGATGCCATGCGCTGACATAGCAGCCCAAACTGTAACTTTAGGGCTGTGTAAGGGCTTCTGATGCTTACGCCTTGGATTTTCGGGGCTCCAATAACGGCAATTTTGTTTATTTACATGCCCGTTTAAATGGAAGTGAGCCTCGTCCGAGAACAACACATTATTGAGCGAAGAAAATCGATTCAACATTTCATTCGCAAAGTTTAGTCTCTGAATAGCGTCATTATCTTTTAATTCCTGCACTAACTGAATTTTGTAAGCGTGCAGACGTAAATCTTTCCTTAAAATCCGCTGTAAAGATGTTCTGGGTACGTTTAGTGCACTGGAACGCTTACGAGTAGACTGGGTAGGATTTTGACGAACAGACTGTGCCACAATGTTGATGTTTTCTTCAATACGAGTTGTCCTTGGTCGACCCCACCGCTGTTTATCTAACGTCGAACCAGTCTCTTCGAACTTAGCAACCCAGTTCTTAATCGTTTGAGCTGTTGGACACTGTAAAATTGTGTAAATTGTGGTATTCTCGATATTTACGCCGCGCAATGGTTGCCGAATCATTATTTTGATAAAACGCGCGCACACAAAAAGCACGATCCGCTACAGTGAAACACTCCATGGCGACTGAATTCCCAGACACTGAAGATACTGCCCCCACCTCGTCCGCGCCGCTCACGCTCACCCGTTAAATTTTATTCAAATTTGAAATTTCAAAGGACTTATGGACCACCCTGTATAATGTAATACATTTTAAAAAAGGAGAGTGGTAACTGTTTGTTGCTTTTACGTCCCAAGCGTACTGCCGAGGAGGTACGTAATAGCAAAAAATTTCAAAAGCGAGATACTACGTTTTCTGGATCTTATATTGAATAGTAGTCACAAAAAAACACCTTGTGACCGCCCATAACTTGAGAAGTACCGCTCCGAACTCGATGAAATTTTCACACAAGAGTACTACCATTCCAGGGGTAAAAAGCTTTGT